AAAAAAAAAAAAAAAAAAAAAAAAAAAAAATGGGGTCTTGTTATGTTGCCCAGGCTGGGCTTGCCAGAGCTTCCTGGGGACACGCATTGTCCTGGACGTCTAGAAACCTCTCCTCAGGGAAACGAAGGAGGCAGGAGCCATGCGTGAGAATTTGGAAACAAAGTGAGGTCTTGGGTCTGTCCTGCAGCCTGAGATGCAGTGGGTCCCTCCCGACCAACCCCCCCTTACTCACTCACGCCTGTCCCAGGCTGGACATGGGTCAGTAGCAGCAACAGCGACATTAGCAGCTGGGACTGTCCCGCAGAGAGCCCCATGGCCGGGCCAAGCCTCCAGCTGTTGTCCATCTGTCTGTCTGTCTGCAGTGTCTGCAGCTCCAGAGGCTCCCTGGTCTGTAGTCTGTGCTGGGCTAGGGGAAGCTGTTCCTGGCATCTCCTGTTGCCCCTCCCAGGTACCCCCTCCTCTCGAACAACTGGTTGGACAGGTTTGGGGGCAGAATCTGCCGGCCCAGTGAATCTGGCATCGCCAGGGAGGGTCCGAAGAGAACAATCAGTTGCAAGACAAGCCTGGACTCCCCCACCCCACCCCAGGAGCGCCTGACCAGGGAGGGGCTGAGGAAGGAGGAGGCAGCCCCAGGATCCAAGCTGCCCCAGGCACTATCCCGCCAAGTCTGCCCCGTGGATCTCCTTGTCCAAACAGTCCCCAGTGTAGTGACTCTTCCTTTAGGACCTGAGGTGGGAGGATCACTTGAGCCTGGGAGGTTGAGGCTGCAGTGAGCCTAGATGGCACCACGGCACTCCAGCCTGGGTGACAGTGAGACCCTGTCTCAAAAAAACAAAACAAAACAAAACAAAAAAACCTGGGAAGAGTTGGTGTCTGTCTTCGGTTCGTAGAGAGTGCCGATCAAGGAAGTTCTCTGGAGTCTCATTTATTTACTTATTTATTAATTATTATTATTATTGAGGCAGGGTCTCACTGTTGCCCAGGCTAGAATGCCATGGTGCTATCATAGCTCGCTGCAGCCTTGACCTCCCAGGCTCCAGGTTCTCAGATTCTCACGGCCCCGCCCTGGGGAAGGATGAGGGATGAAGACAAGCTTCCCAGCTTGGCCTGTGTCCAGCTTTGCTGCTCAGAGAGCTCAGATCCCCACCCTCAATTCACCCCCCTGCGTGGAAGGGAGTGACCCTCACTTTCTAGCACAGACAGGGAAGAGGGCTTGGCCAAGAGCACCCAGGAGGTCAGGGCAGGACTGGGGATTAGATCACGCCCAAATGCAAGCTCTGTGGCACTCCTGGTGTGGCCCTGCTGTCCCCCTGCAGCCTGGCCCCGGGAGGGGGGCTCCCAGACCTCACACCCCCTCATCTCTTTATCCAGGGGACCTGCCCTCTCTCCCTCCTTCATCGCCAGCCTCTGCCAGGGCAGGGTAGTTCCTCTTCAAGACAGAAAATTACCAGATGGAAGGCCGGGCATGGTGGCTTACGCCTGTAATCCCAGCATTTTGAGAGGCCGAGGTGGGTGGATCACCTGAGGTCGGGAGTTCGAGACCAGTCTGGCCAACATGGCGAAACCCTGTCTCTACTAAAAATACAAAATTAGCCGGACATGGTGGCTTGTTCCTGTAATTCCAGCTACTCAGGAGGCTGAGGCAGGAGAACCACTTGAACTCGGGAGGCAGAGGTTGCGGAGAGCCGAGATCGCACCACTGCATTCCAGCCTGGGCAACAAGAATGAAATGCCCTCTCAAATAAAATAAAATAAAATAAAAATAAAAATAATAAAAAAGATGAGATGGGCTCAGGGCAGGTAGACAGAGACCTGTGACCACCTCTCCCCTGGATCAGGGTACCAGCCCCCGTCAGCCCGACCTTCACACTCTAATTATGCCAGATGTCTTCTTTCTGGGAAACCCAACAGATTATCACCTATGGCCCCCATTTTTGGGTGAAGAGGGGACATTCCCCGAAGGGGACATACCTCAGTTCCCCAAGGGGATTCAGAGGTTCACTTCAACTCACAAGAAAAACTTCTGGCAGGGCGTGGTGGCTCACACCTGTAATCCCAGCACTTTGGAAGGCCGAGGCGGGCGGATCACCTGAGGTCAGGAGTTCGAGACCAGCCTGACCAACATGGAGAAACCCCGTCTCTACTAAAAATACAAAATTAGCCAGGCGTGGTGG